GCAGTTCACCGCCGGGAGCGCACACGGGGCCTGCGCGGCCCGCGGGTAGCGCGTGCATGTGACCCCCCTCACCGCGCTCACGAGCCAAGTGCTCAGCGCGGCGGATCTCACGTGTCCCTCCTCCGCCTCCTGCTTTGTGCTCCCCACCCGCCTAGGGCCACCTTCACTCTAGCAAGGCCCGGACTGCTGGGTCGCGTGAGACGTGGGCGTCACCGCATATGTACTGTCACCCTATCGCCTAGGTATCCCGATGGCACCTGCAGGACTTGGGTGGACGGTTGGGTTCAGGGGACCGGAGGCAACAGAGGACAGTCCTTTGATCGCCCCTCCCCCCTTCTTCACCGCCTTGTCTTTCTGGCAGCGCTGAGACCTCTAGGTCCAGTTTGTCCCAGGCTGCAGCCTTGCCTGTTATAGGAGGAACTGGAGGGAGCCCACAACAGGGGCTAAGCCGGTGTTGGGTGGTCACTGTTACTAGGGAGCCCCCAGTGCTCAGAGATTTTGCCACATTTTATGCCTGAGGTGTGTCACCACACCGCAGGCCAGGACTCAGCAAAGTGACCAGGCCCCGCGGTGGGTGGCGCCTCAGCACCATTGCTCCTCCCTGCCCACGTCATCAGCAGCCTTGTCCTGTAGGGACCTCTCCAGCCCCGGGGGAACTCTCTGCGTCTAGCACTTCAGGTGCCTTCATCTCCCTGCTTGGACAGTCCTGCAGTGACGCCCTGACTCCTTGCCCGACATCCAGAACCCAACGTGATCTGTCCAGACACCTTGTTGTGTACCTCACACCCCAACTCCAGCCTCCTGACCCAGTTCCCCCACCAGACCTTGACTCTCAGAGCCCCTGGAGCACTGTTCCTCCCCACACTCCACTCTAGATTCACCTTCAGGGCTGGGCTCAGAGGTCCTGTCTTTGGGGCCCCTGTGCAAAGCAGTTGTTTTTGGTTAATAGTAGCTCTTGTGACCTGGGTTGAAATCCATAGCTGGGCCACGTCACAGGCAAGCTCATGTGATGACCTGTCAGAGCCTCAGTGTCCTCAGTTGAAAATGGGTCAGCAACCACAACCCCTCAAGGGTATACTGGGGAGGACAGCTGAGGGGTGAGAGAGGCCTCAGAGGCAGGGGCCTTTCTGCTCCATGAAGGTAGCACCCTCCGCCCTCTGCCTTCAGGGGCAAGTGCTCCCTACTGAGGACACAGAGGCCATGGGCCATTCATTTGCCCCTCTGCCTAGGAGTGCCCAGAACCTCTTCCTGACTACAGTCTATCTCCTCACACTCTTGGGATCTGTCCCTGCTCACTGGCCAAATTACAGGTTGTAAGAATGGACTCAGGGCCAACTCCAGCTTTGCTAGGGGTGACCAGGTTCCAGTGTGATCACAGAGTACACCCCAACCTCCGTGTCCCTTCCTTCCACAGAAAAGGTGCTGTTGCCTCCAGGGGAGTGGGCATCAGGCCACCTAGCCTTGAGCCCACATCCCACCCTACCTCTGCATGGCCAGCAGACAGAACCATCATGGGCCTCTGAAGTCCCTCTGGTCCAGCCTGGACAGAACACCCTTGTAGACCCTCTAATCCTGGCCTGCACCTACAAGAGGCTTCACAGGGCTGAGGTGACCCTGGATTCAAGGTGTTCATTGGTCACACTCCTTATCCCCATGCAACCCTCCAGCCTATGGCTCTGCTTCCCTCTGCTCAGGAGGCAGCTCCCACTTGGCCCAGGCTCCCTGGAGATGTGGAACGAAATCCTATCTGCTGCAGCAGCTCTAGCCCAGCTTTTCCAGAGGAACTGTGCACTCCCACACTGCCCCCAGGGGATTGTGTCTGAATCCTGTCTACCTGTGTCCCCAGTGCCTGGCAGAAGACTCAGATGTGAAGTTAAAAAAATCCCTAATTTGTGGTTAGGGCCTGACATGAGATCACCTTTATTAAAAACTGCCCCAAACCCTCTTGTAAGGGAGGTGACTAGTCCCAGGGAATGTGGCCTACCTTGGGGTACAGGGAACAGGAGGGAGCTGAGGCGTGGCCCATTTCAAAGGCTTGGTCAGGGATCCAACACAGTACCTGGGATGCTTGAAGCCAGAGAAGAAGTCTTTACAAGTGCAACCTTCAGGGTGCCATGCAAAAGGGGCTCAGCAGTGGGATTTCAGGCACTTTCAATGGGCCGAGAATACAGAGCTCACCTGCCTGGGCCTGCCCCCGTAACCTCTAGTCTCCCCTCCTGTTTTGTACCCCGTTATTGTTTGATCTCTGTGTTCTCTTGTGTGCACAGCTTTTTACTGTATACAGTGGCCGTTCCACTTCCTTTTTGTCAGATCCAACTGACAGGCTGAGAGGCGGCAGGAGATGGCCAGTTTCTGTGAAAGGCTTGGCGAATTGAAACTCTGCTGCAGTGGCCAGAGGGCTATGGGTCCCCGTCCCCAGTGGCCTCGCTCTGATGTTAGGTCCTCAGCCAGCTGATGGAGTCCTTATCCAGTGTAGAAAAGCGGATCAGCTTCAAGTTGGGTGGCTGGGGCTTCCTATCATCCCAGAGGTACTCGGGGGATAGCACCTTGGATGGCTTATGTGAGATGAAGCGGCGGTTCAGATGGCTCTCCTCCTGCCAGGCTGCCATGATGCCGTTGGCCTTGTCTGCCAGGATGGCCATGTGGCAGCCACTCGTAAACTCATATACATTGGCCACCCGCCCCCCGAAGACAGCCCCACCATAATAGAAGTCCCCTTCGCTGTCTGCCACAAAGGCGGCAGAAACATGCCTGCGCTCGTAGGGGAAATGCTGGCGGGGTATAGCATAGTAGCCTGGGTGAATGGCAGCCACCAAGTCCCCCAAGGTCTCAGGGCCCCATGGGTTCCGGAACACCATGTCCACATCGAGGCAGAAGAGGTAGTCCACCTCCCTGTGTGCTCTCTGGGCGATGTGTTTGCTGATGGTCTCCATGCGGCGCATAGAGATCTCCTCCCAGTGGGAGTGCCCCGGGATGGGGATGACGCTGAGGAGCCGGCCGGGGCCCAGCGTCACCCTGGGGATGGCTGCAGGGTCGTGGGTGAAGATGTAATAGTGCACCTGGAACCCACGCATGAAGAACTCCTCGGCCGACTCCAGGAAGTGCTGGACGAATCCAGTGTACCTGGTGATGAGGACCTTGTCATCCACTACTGTCCCGGCAGAGCCACTGCCTAGGTCCCCGCTATGTGCTGGCACCATGCAGGGCATGTGGTCTGGGGTCTACTTCCCAACTCCCCACCTTAAGAAGTCACTTTCGTCTGACCCTCTAGGTCAGGCGTCCTCAAACTATGGCCCGCAGGCCACGTGCAGCCCTCCTAGGATATTTATCCGGCCTGTTGGGTGTTTTTGCCACTGCTGCCTGTCCTGTTTAGCAGCTGACTCATCCTGGGGCCTCGCAGTCCGGCCCTCCAACCATCTGAGGGACAGTGAACTCTACCCCTGTTTAAAAAGTTTGAGGACCCCTCATCTGAGGTCCTCATCTGTCAAATTCCCCAAATCCTGGTACTGACCTCTTAAGACTGTTGTGAGAATGCTGCTTAATGAAGATTGTTATGTTCAGAAACCAAGCTAATGTCTAGTGAGCACTTACTGAGTACAAAGCAGCATTCTAGGGAGTTCCTATTGTCTTTGCTCTTTATGGGCTGCCTGTGATTTGCCCATTTTGCAGGCAGGAACACTAAGGATCAGAGAAAAGAGAGTAGCCAGGAAGCAGGTGAGTGACTAAATCAAGAGAAGGCCAGTTGTGCTGGATGCTGAGGGCATGGAGTGGGAAGTGGACAGTGTGGGCCTGCCCCAGGTCACCACTGATTGGACAAGGATGTTACCTGACCCAGGCAGGCCATTCATCACTTGGCAAGTGCTTTAGGCCTAGGGGCCCTATCATGGCCTCTTTCTCACGAGTCCCAGGAAGGGACCCAGAGGAAAGCTTCCAGGTGACAGTTCTTAAAGGAAAGGCTATGTGGGTTCAGGAAAGAGAGAGGAGGCAGGGGAGGGGACGGGAGGCAGGGAGGGGACATGGGGGTCTCCTGATAAAGGCTACGGTTACCTTACCTGGGCTTCATTCATCTTCTTTTCCATGCCAAGGCCAGACTGCTTCCCCCCAGAAGACCCCCACTCACAAGCTCACTCTATTCCCTCCTATCTGCTCAGCACATGGTGTGGGGCCTCCCCGGTGCCCAGTCAGGGTACCATGGGCAGGCCCTGTCTCTCCCCTAGATTCTAAGCTTCCATGGCTCGGGAAGAGAGCCCCTTTCCCCCCACCTAGCCCGCTACTCACTTCCCCACGGCAAACACTGTGACCCCAATGGTCAGGTTCAACGGCTGGTAGATGTGCTGCAGAAGCTCCAGGTTGAAAGTTCCCTCGGAGACAATGGGCGCCAACCAGGGGGTTAGTGTCAGCAGCTTGGTGGGCCTGGCAGCAGAGAGGCTGTGGGTACTGAGACTTTCCCTTGTGAAAGCCTATGTCCCATCCTGGCCCTGCGTTCCATACTATGTGAGCTGGGGCAACTTCATCCCTGTCTCTGGGCCTCAGTTTCCTCATGTGGAGAGTGGGGATTATGATAGCTGCTGGGAGGCCCAGGAGTTGGCGCTACCAGGTGTCTACAGCAGCCTGGTGCTGTCCTGTGTGCTGAGTGTTTAATAAACAAGGGTACCATCCTCAAGGACAGGTAAGCACCTGCTGTGTACAAACTCAGCACATGTGTTACAAACCCCATCTCATCCTGTCTTCCAACCTCCTATAGGTAGGTACTATTATCATCTACTTGTACAGAGAAAGCTCACAGGAGCAGAGTACCCCGCCCAAGGTCATACAACCCAGGTCCCTGACTCCCAGCCTGTGTCTTTCCACAGTCCTAGGCTACCTGGGCCCCAAGGCCATGTTGACATTGGTACCTCCATCACCCCAACTCAGAAATCAGAGCTCTCCCAGCCCTCTCCCTCGCTCCACTCCAGGTCTCCACACCTACCTGGGCTCCAGCAGCTTGGGCTGAGGGTACTGAGACCTGTAACCCAGAGGGGTGAGTGGTGAGGGGAGGCGCTCCCCCCCAATCCCTCAAAGGCTGCAAATGGGGAAATGAATGTCCTTACTGTGCCACGGGTTGGAACGGCTTCTCTCCCTTGTACTGCAGCTTCATGTTGCTGGTGGCAGAGGCAAGAAAGAGCTGTCAGTGCAGGGCTGAGGGCAGAGGTGCAGGGCACAGGAAGGAAGAGGAACCGGATGCCCCCAGGTTCCAGGCAGACACCCCTGACCTCACCCCCACACAGCTCCACCCCCTTCAGGAGTTGTCTGTCCAGGTCACTGAGTGTGCAGGGGGCTGGGATTTGAACTGAGTGCTGCTTGGGCCTAAAGCTGGTGCTTTTCCTTTCTTTCCTTTTTTTTTTTTTTTTGAGACAGAGACTCACTCTGTCACCCAACTAGAGTGCCATGGCATCATAGCTCATAGCAACCTCAAATTCCTGGATTCGAGGGATCCTCCTGCCTCAGCCTCCTGAGTACCTGGGACTATAGGCGACTGCCATAATGCCCAGCTAGCTTTTCTATTTTTACTAGAGACAAGGTATTGCTCTTGCTCACTAGTCTCGAACTCCCGAGCTCAGGCAATCCACCTGCCTTGTCCTCCCAGAGTGTTAGGATCACAGGCATGAGCCTCCACGTCCAGCCCAAAGCAAGTGCTTTTCCAGAACTGGGTTTACTCTGTAGGATGTTGGTGTTGGATAGAAGGTTTGAGAGGCTGCAAAGACCTGGTGACCTAGGGACCTCGGGGAGTCAGTTAACCTGAGTGAGCCCACCGTGAGGGTCATTTGTGTGTCACCTTGGCTGGGCCATGGTACCCACTCTTGTTGCTGTGGAACTATTTTGTGCATTTGATTAGCATCTCTACCTGCTGGTTTAATGTAAAGAGAATTGTCCAGGATAACCTGGGTGGGCCTGAGCCACTCAGCTGAAGGCCCTAAGAGCAGAACTGGGGTTTCCCCAAGGAAGAAGTTCCCCTGTGGACTACAGTGTCACCTCTCGCCTAAAAGGTCCAGCCGGCCTCAAGATCAAGTATGCAGATCTCTCATGGAGTATCTGTCTGTCTGTCTCTATCTACTGCCCACCTTTCTTTCACTGGTTCTATTCTCCAGGGGAGCTCAGATTGACACATTCACTTTTCTTCATCTGTAAAGTGACCACCCTGAATCCAGAATCACCATGAGAATTGGAGGAGGGACGTGATGGGCTACAAGGTCGTGTCCAGCATGAAGCAAGCACACAGCAGGTATCCCAGCTATGAGTTGGGCAGCAGCCTGAGTGCTCAGTGCCTGCTCATTTCAATAAAGGTCAGGCCAAGCATGGTGGTTCACCCAGCACCCTGAGGGGGCTGAGATGGGCAGATCCCTTGAGCTCAGGAGTTCGAGACCAGCCCAAGCAAAAGCAAGACCTTGTCTCTACTAAAAACAGAAAAACTAGCCAGGTATTATGGTGGGTGTCTATAGTCCCAGCTACCTGGGAGGCTGAGGCAAGAGGATTGCTGGAGCTCAAGAGTTTGAAGTTGCTGTGAGCTATGCTGTTACGGCACTCTACCCAGGGTGACAGAGTGAGTCTCTGTCTCAAAAAGAAAAACAAAGGTCAGACTGGGTGGAGAAGTAAGACGGGGTTCCTTGAAGGATGACGTGGCAGGGCTGTGGGGTCAGACTCCTGGGCTCCCCACCATGGATGATTGATACCTAGGGCCAGACATTTGACCCCAAGGGCTTTATTTCTCTCATCCATAAAACTATGGACAATAAAACAATCTTCTAGAGTCTAGAATGTTTCTACAAGAGGGAAGTGAGGCCCAGGAATGGCCCAGCCAGTGTCAGAGGCAGCTTTAGAAGAGGCCTGAGGTTGATGGTCCCAAGGCAGGAACTCTCAAGGATCCCCCCACCTGATGACACAGTTGTCTGTTACTTTTGCGTCTCACCATGTCATCTATGATGGTATTTCTGAAACTCCCTCAAGTTTTCTCATCTTTAGTCTAGGCTCTTTTTTATTTGCATAAAATGTAGGATTTACCATTTTACCTATTTTTCAGTATATAGTTCTGTTGCAGTAAGTACATCTACGTTGTCGTGTAATCTGCACTACTGCCCGTGTCCAGAACATTTCACCATCCCGAATGGAAACCTGTTCCCCCTCAAACCGCAGCTTGCCGCTGGCCCTCTCACAGTCCCTGGGAACCCTTCTTCCACCTAGCTCGGTGAGTTCAACCCCTGTACCCACCTTACATAAGTGAAATCATGCAAGCTTTGTCTTTCTGTGATTAGTTTTTTTGAATCAATAAAATTTTAAAGTCAACTTATTGAATTGGCCCTCTGCCCTTGTTCCTTACAAGCAAGCGCATTTCAGGTCCCTGCTCAGACAGTGGTGGGAGTCCAGGCAGGTGGTCAGAGGTAGGAAGGGGATATGGCCCCAGGAAGCTGGCACCAGCCAACTTAGCATTCTGCTTCCCTGGCAGTGAATACTTCTCTGCTCTCCACAAGCCCAAACACACTCCAGCTGCACTGGAGAGTTAGACACGAGAATACAAAAGCCATAGCTAAAAAGAACAAAAACAGGAAAGCCATAGCTAAAAAGAACAAAAAACAGACTTTCAGGGTAGCACCTGTGGCTCAAAGGAGTAGGGTGGGTTCAAACCCGGCCTCGGCTAAAAACGGCAAAAAATCCCCAAAAACCAAAAATAAAAAAAAAAAAAAACAGACTTGCACGAACTTTGAAGATAAAACTAAAAGTGAAAGTAAAGTCAAAGAAATTCAAAGGAAAAGAGAGGAAGATTTCACCATCTGAAACAAAGACTTTCAACTTCAATCTAGTAAAAATATAATTCAGTAGAATCAAAAGACAGAAAAACTGGGGGGAAAAATGTAGCAGATACACTGGGCCAAGGGTGATGCCAGAGAACACAGGAACAGACCAGGGAGGGAAGTGTCAGAGTAAGCTTTTTTTTTTGAGACAGAGCCTCAAGCTGTCACCCTGGGTAGAGTGCTGGGGCATCACAGCTCACAGTAACCTCCAACTCCTGGGCTCAAGCAATTCTCCTGCTTCTGCCTCCCAAGTAGCTGGGACTACAGGTGCCCAACACGATGCCTGGCTATTTTTTTTTGGTTGCAGTCATCATTGTTGTTTGGTGGGCCCAGGCTGGATTCGAACCCGCCAGCTCAGATGTATGTGGCTGGCGCCTTAGCCGCTTGGGCCACAGGCGCCAAGCCCAGAGTAAGTTTTTGACAGCAGGGGGAAGTCAATTAGTGGGAAGACACAGAAACGAGGGTCCTCCTAGTAATCAGATATAGCATTTCCAGTCTCTCAAATCAGCAAGGTGGGTTCACTTTTTGTTTTCCTGACAACTGGGGTGGTCATGCTGGGCATCACTCAGGCACAGGTTCATGTGCGAGGGAGAGTGTTTGATGGGATGGCCCCTCTGGAAACACCCTGACGAGGTAGATCACAACCTATCTATGTCCTCTGGACCAGGAATGGGACAAATATGAATGAAATGATTTTTTTTTTTTTTTTTGAGGCAAAGTCTCACTTCATCACCCTCAGTAGAGTGCCTTGGTGTCACAACTCACAGTAACCTCAAACTCTTGGGCTTAAGTGATTCTCTTGCTTCAGCCTCTGGATTAGCTGGGACTACAGGCGCCTGCCATAACACCCAGCTATTTTTAGAGACCTGGTCCCGCTCTGGCTCAGGCTGGTCTTGAACCTGTGAGCTCAGGCAATCCACCTGCCTGGGCCTCCCAAGTGCTGGGATTATAGGCATGTGCCACCACGCCTGCCCTAAAATGATCTTTAAAATGGAAAAAGCATCATGCTCCTGGGAAACAGAGTAACCTAAATGTCCAGCAGTTGTTGGCAAGAAAAGGAGGGGTGCTTTCCTACCCAGCCTCGGGTGGAATAAGATGCTGGAGACCACGGAGAGAAGGGGCACACTGAAAAATAAAGTCCCTTCCAGGAAAACAGGATATAAATTGCCAAAACAGTATGATAACACCATTTTCAATAGCAAGTGATCTTTGTGCTTTTAGGACCATGTAAATGCAGAATCTGTTCAATTAGAAATAACAGCAAACAAACAATCCAGCAACCAGCCTTGGAATCAGAGTATAACCCAAATAGTTGGGACCTGAGAGAATTTTCTTTTTCTTTGGTCTCTTCCATTTTCTGATTTCCTACTTTGCTATATTCTGTGTTTATAATAATAAAACACGCCTGTTAATCAGCTGTCTATGATCTAGATGCCTAACTCTCCTTTAGCTGTCCAAAAAACCAAAAGACCAAGGGGCAAATGCCCTTTTGAGACTGTTCCAACTCATTTTTTCACTTTTTTTTTTGAGACAGAGTTTCACTATGTTGCCCTCAGTAGAGTACTGTGCCATCACAGCTCACAGCAACCTCAAACTCTTGGGCTTAAGCGATTCTCCTGCCTCAGCCTCCCAAGCAACTGGGACAATAGGCGTCTGCCATAACGTCTGGCTACTTCTTGTTGCAGTTGTCATTGTTGTTTAGCTGGCCTGGGCCCAGTTCGAACCTTCCAGCCTCCCTGTATGTGGCTGGTGCTGTAATCACTGTGTCAAGGGAGCCAAACCCATTTTTTCACTCTTAACTGTCAAAAAGTCAGATTCATTATATGAACAAATCTTTGGTCACATGTTAAGTTGTTCTTTGAATCCATATAGAACACAAAAATTGAGCAGAAAGGTCAAATCCTAAAAAGCACTGTCTCCTGAATGCCTACAATGCACCCGGGGCAACACCAGGCCATTTCTAGGCATCAGCATGCTCCATGCTCCCTGTGGCCTGGGAGAGGCTTCTCTACCACCCCATTTTACAGATGTAGCAAGAGAGGTTCAGAGCTGTGCAACTTGTCTAAGGTCAAACCATGCAGGGGGCTGCAAGCATGCTCAAAGACAGAAACAGGGATTTCACTCCACATTTCTGGCAGTCCTTAAATTACCTAACCCCTGTGGCATTTATCAGAATCATGAGTGTATCACTAAGGACCCACAGACTGTGCCCTTAAAAACCCCTGTCTCTCCAGCAGTGAGCAGGCCCCAGTCCCCCAATTTTTCTAGCCCCAGGTGTACTTACAAGATCTGTGGGCAGGGGAGGTAGAAGGGGACATAAGAGACTCCCATCCAGCTTTCGACAGAAACCCTGGGAAGGAAAAACACCTGCTGACTCCACTCCAAAGGCTGGAAACTCACTTAGCGCACATCTTTGGGAGTGATGGTTACCACATCATGGTAACCAATGATGGCTACTGGGGAGTGGGGTCCCTTGTCATTCTGTGGGTCTGGCTGACCTTGGAGTCTCCTGAAATACCCTGTATCACAGGGCCTGGCATGCAGTCATTCACTCACCTATGCAATCATTCATTTCTGGGGTATGTATATTCTTGATGCCAGCCCCCCCATATACATACCCACAAATTGTAAGGTGAGGGGCAACCCCAGGAGCTTCACAGAAGGACACAGGAGGTGAATTTGGACACATGAAGAGGAGTTCCTCATCAACACCAATTGAAGGATGGTCCAGGCAGAGGAAAGGGCAGGCCAAAAGCCAGGGGGCCAGTACAAGGCAGAATTTAGAAGCTGAAACTAGTGTGGCGTGGCTGGGGCTGGGGAACAGGTGAGCTAAGAGAGGTTGGTGGGACCTGGAAATCCCATGAAGGGATTCAGGTGAAGACAGGAAGAAATCTCAAGTGGGGAGGGAGGGAGAGCTCCACAGGGCAGACTCACCACAGGACGTAGAGGCTTGTGCCTGCCAGCAGGCACGACCCCAGGCTCAAGGCCAATTTCCGGCAGTGCATTGCTGAGGGCTGCACCTGAGCCTGGACACCTGCAGACAACACCCTGCAAAGCCTGGGGCTCCCCCTAGCAGGGCTGTCAGGCTCTGAGCCTGAGTCTCCGAGTTCAGAGTTCCGGAAACACCTGCAAAAGAACGCTGCTTATCCTGGGACAGTGGCCCTACTCCAGCACCCTGGGCTCCCCTAGGTTGCCCACCAGGGTAAAATGTGGATCCTAGGTCTCTCCCAGGCCAGCTGCACCTTAGGCCCAGTTCTGGCAGCTCTGGGAGGCAGACGGGTGGCAGGGTTGTGCTGGAGCTTCGGGAGAGGTGCTGGGGCCTATTTAGATTTCGCCCAGGGCTGCGACAGCAACAGGGTGGCAGGACGCTTTTAGTGGAGTTTGCAGGGCCACAGCAAGCACACTATCAAGGCCTGAGGCAGCGCCGAGACACGCCCAGTCCCGCCGGGGCTCGCGCAGTGAGGGGCGAGGTGGCGGCCGTACACTCCTCTGGGAGGCGGGCTGTGTTGTCCCTGGGACAACGGGAACGTGCTTCAACACTCTGGCTCGGCAGCCTTGGGCAGTCATACCCCGCTTTCCCCCAGTATCTGTTCTCTTCGGCCAGAAGGGGCTGGAGTCGGGTGGAAGCGCACGTGGCTACTGAGCACTTGGCACAGCCCAGCTCCGGGGACCGTGGGACACTGGCAGACCTGCTGCAGTGGGCCCGAGGTCAGAGAATGGCCTTGGGACCAAGGTCCTGGGCCCCTGCTCACTCCGGAGTCTCCGGCAAGCCTGCTCCCTGCCCCTCCCTTTTGAACCAGTTTCCCCACTTGGGCCTCGGTGCGCAGCGTCCTCCAAGCCTCGCCAGCCCCAGTCTCCGCGCGGCTCGGGCCGCCGGGGCCGCTCCGCCGACGCAGAGTCCAGGCCCGAGCGCCGGGCACCCCAGCCTGGAGTCCGGACTCAGGGAGCCGGACGCGCGCCGCCTGCGCTCGCAGCGACTCTCTCGCGCGGTGCGGGCACAGGGCGAGGCGAGGGACTACAGATTCACTCACTGCCCGCGGCCCGACGTAGGGATGGACGGAGGGACGCACCTCGGTCAGGAACCAGGAACTGGGCTCTCCTAGACCCCCGCGATACCTGTGTGCCTAGCGGCGCGCGGGGCGGAGCCTGGAGCAGAGAATGCCCGGAACCGGCTTGGGGGCCCCAGCAACTCCATAAAAGCCAGCCAAAAGCCGCTCGCCCCGCCCACCGGCCGCCGCGGCCCCGCCCGCCCGCAGCCCCGCCCCAGGTACCGGCGCCTGACCCTGGACTTGGCCTCTCCAACCAGAGGACCGCAGCCTGGGATGCAGGCGACCCAGATCAGAGCCCAGAGGCGCGGGCCAGAGGGCTCAGGGCGGGTTTGCTGTGTTTAGAAGAGCTTCGCGAAGCAGCCAGGAAGAGGAAGAACAAGCTGCACGTGGCACCTGTAGTGTTCTTGATCTACCCTCCCTGGCTCAGGGCCTCTGGGCTCCCGGAATCTCCCAGAGCCTGCGCCCGCTCCTGGCTTCGCCATACTTTTGTCCCCGGCCCGTCTGAACTGATTCATTTTCCATACTTAGTTTATGTTTACAGAGTTCCCTGGTCTGCTTTCCAAACACTTTGCCTCCCTGGCAGCTGTCCTCTAATAAAGCGGTGAGCACGGCAGGGCAGACCTAGCCTGATGGCCCTGCAGTCAAGCCCAGGACCTCTGTTAGAGTTACAGCCCTCTCCTGGTCTAACCAGCTCTGCGTCCCTCTCCCACACCCCTAGAGGAGGACAGAGGAAACCTAGCGACAGCCCTGGCCTGTAAGAGGCTGACCAAAGAGGCCCTTAATGACTTGGGAGGCAGAGGCGGCTGGATTGCTTGAGCTCAAGGGTTCAAGACCAGCTTTAAGCCAGAGCGAGACCTTGTCTCGAAAAGTAGCTAGGCGTTGTGGTGGGCGCCTGTAGTCCCAGCTACTTAGAAGGCTGAGGCAAGAGAATCGCTTGAGCCCAGGAGTTAGAGGTTGCTGTGAGCTGTGACACCATGGCACTCTACCGAGGGCAACAAAGTAAGACTCTGTCAAAAAAAAAAAAAAAGGGCCATAATGACTTAAAAATATAACAACCAAAAACTGTGAGTGGAAAGCAAGATAAGAGAAAGCATGGATACCTTTCTCGGTGCAGAGTGGCCTGAACCAGTAACTCAGGCAGAGACTGAAGTGTTCAGGGAACCAGCAAGGACACTGCGGAAGGCAAGCCCACCCAGCACAGGGGGAGGGGAGCAGTTTTCCAATTCTGTTTCTTTCCTTCTCTCTCTCTCTCTCTCTTTCTTTCTCTCTCTTTCTTTCGACAGAGTCTTACTTTGTCACTCTCAGTAGAGTGCCATGGCATCACAGCTCACAGCAATCTCCAGCTCTTGGGCTTAGGTGATTCTCTTGCCGCAGCCTTCCTAGTAGCTGGGACTATAGGCGCCCACCACAACACCTGGCTATTTTTCATTGCAGTTTGGCCGGGGCTGGGTTTGAACCCGCCACCCTCAGTATATGGGGCTGGCGTCCTCCCTACTGAGCCACAGGTGCTGCCCATCAGTTATGTTTCTTTCTCTGCCTGTCTGCCTATGTGTGTATATATGTGACTTTTAAAAAACTCTTATTAGATACTATTAACTGAATGTCTTTGGAGGAGGAGCCAGGTCACCAAAGCTGGACCCCATCCTCCCACAGAGCTGTGAGCTCAGAGGGCGGAATGTTGGCTGGGTTTCACTGCTGTATTCACCTAAGTGCCTGCTAGAGGCATGCATGAATGAATAAATGAATGAACAAACCCAAGGCTTCTTTTTTAAAGACAGGATCTGCTTCTGTTGCCCAGACTAGAGTGCTGTGGCACAAGTAAAGTTCTGGCCTCAAGACTTGTCTCGGGGTTCTTGTAGGTAAAATAAGCCCCCCCCCCCACAGGGCTGCTGGAAGATTGTACTGATTTGCCTGCCTACTCATCCAATAGACATAAGTGTCTCCATGTGCCAGCCTCTGTCCTAGAATCTGGCCATACAGTGGTGAACAAGCACAGTCCCTGCTGGGGTGGAGCCCACCTAAGCAGGGGTTTAAATGAGGGAATGTTGGTCTCAGGCATGTGGTCCGAGCTCAGTTGGAGCAGCTGCAGTGATTGGCAGTTCACACACGAGCTCTTTTTTTTTTTTTTTGAGACAGAGCCTCAAGCTGTCGCCCTGGGTACAGTGCTGTGGCATCACAGCTCACAGCAATCTCCAACTCCTGGGCTTAAGCAATTTTCTCTTGCCTCGGCCTCCCAAGTAGCTGGGACTACAGGCGCCTGCCACAACGCCTGGCCATTTTTTTGGCTGTAGTTGTCATTGTTCTTTGGCAGGCCCAGGCTGGATTCAAACCTGCCAGCTCTGGTGTATGTGGCTGGGGCCTTAGCCGCTTGAGCTACAGGAGTTGAGCCCACACATGAGCTGTTGTCCAGCAGCCAGGACTGGCTTGGGGGGTCTTGCAGTCTTGCAGTAGAGGGGATGCAGGATCCTTGGTCTGAACAGCCAGGTTACCCTACATCCCTAAGTGGCCCTTACCCTCACTGGTCCTCAGTTTTTCATCTGTAAAATGGGCATGTGAGGAAACCCATCCTTTGGTTCCTCCATTGAAGTTGGTTTTGATCCTCCAAGACAGAAAATGAAGTGGGCGGACTGCCCACGGTAACCTCGGAGGGCTGAGGTTTGAGCTCCTGAAGGGAACTGAGCAGTGTCCTACCAGGAAACCAGCTATAAGTTTCCCTTCTGGTTAGTGGCAGAGCCGGGCTGGGAGCCCTTGACTCCAGACCCAGCCTTCAGGTTCCCCACCATGCACAGACCTTGCACAACTGGTCCCCAGCTGTGACCGACCTCTGGGATACCAGAGAAAATCCCAGAAAATTTCCTAGAAATAAGGGCCTCCATGTCCTGATAAGTCTGGGAGACCTGGAGTGTGCAGGTGTGCCAGGACTCTCCAGACTTTCATCCCTGTGGGAGTGGGGAGAATGTGCTGAGTGGCCTTGGAGCAGGGGTTGGGGGGAGGGGCTGGGCAGGGTAGAGCAGGCCCCACGGCCTGCCTTGTGGGCCTTACCCTCCTTTCCTTAGGGAGAAACTTCCATCTGGACCAAGAGCTGGCATTATCCCAGGTGACAAGCAGATGTCTCTGCAAAGCTCAGTTTGGACCCAGACACTAATTTTACCTCTCTTGGGCCTTTGGCACCTGGCGGTGGGCAGTAACATAGGAGCTCTGAGGACAGATTGCAAGTCTCAGCCCACACACCCAGGGTTCTGCCCCTGATTTGCTCAGTGACTTTGGACAAAGTCTCAGTTTCCCCACTGTAATAAGAAGCAATAGCTTCCTTCAGTGCCTGTCAAGCTATGCCTCCTGGAGCACCTGGGGATGGTCCCTGGGGTGTGTGGGGGTGGGGCGCACAGGACTCATCCTTGAGTGGCTCTGTGCTGTGTTTGACACACTGGGAGTCTGCATGACGCATCATCAGAAAATGTATAACTGCCCCCCAAAAGTGAGATTTAAAGACAATAGACCTTGGTAGGCTCTGGGCCCCCTGTACTCTGTTCCTCTTTGATCTGGTTGTTCCAGAGGACAAGTGAGGTCATAGCTCACATGCCTGATTCAGCCAGAGCCCAGCAGGATCCAGGATTCAGTCTCTAATCCAAGCTCATTGTCCTGCCTAGCCAAGGCCCGCCTGGACACAGGTGGAACCCACAGTCTCCCTATCCTGGCATGTGTTGCCCGGTGCTGGGGAGCAAACTTGCCAAGGATGTTCCTGGAGTAGAACAGGGCCTGCTGATACCTGGGGAGAAGAGGGAATCCTGCGGTGTGGGTGTGGGGGAACCTGAGCTTCCTGGCTGTGCTGGAGCCAGACCCCCAACCTTGACCCTGGATGCCCAGCAGGCCCACCCCAGGACAGGAGAAGGAGTTACACTTTGGAAATGGCTGGAGGGTAAAAATGTAGCCTCCTTCCTCATTAGGTCAATGAAACTAGATGAGAATGGAACCCCATACTTAGACTAGACACCATACCTCCAAACCCAGAGTGACCCCCCCCACCCTCTTGAGTGAAAACAAAAGAAAATGTATAACTTCCCCCCAAAAGTGAAACTTAAGTGAGACTTAAAGGGCTTTTTCTATTCTCACAACAACAATCAACACAGAAGACTACTTTGACCAAAGGCATGAAAAGATTCCGCCTTCCCCCCTCAGGCAGTAGCCACCAACAGAGCGCCCTCTAATTTGATTAAATTCTGATGTCATGTACCTGGAGGTGGCCTCAGGTCCCACAGGGTGAAGGTTCGGTCCCACAAGACTGCCCCCACTTAGACACCAGTCACAGGCCTCTGGAACTTCTGACCAAGCAGCATTAAACTGAGTTCCCACGAACCCCTCTTTGGGTTCCATTAATTTGCTGGAGTGCTCACAGAACTCAGGGACGCTAACTTACCTTTACTGGCTTCTTATAAAGGACATTACAGAAGATGCAGGTGAGGAGTGGCAGAGGCGGTGTGGGGAGGGCTGTGGAACTTCCACGCTCTCCCCGGGCACCACCCTCCAGGAAGCTCAGTGTCCGGGAGCTCTGGACCCTGTCCTCAGGGGCCTTCTGTGGAGACAGCGCTGGATGGGCGTGACCAACAGGTGGATGGGACAGACTGGCTGGATTGCACACAGCAAGCAGAGGGGAAATCCAGTGCAGCCTGTCTGTTCAGATTCTTCTTGGCCTCTCTGTGTAGCCTTTCTCCCGGCGTGGGGCAGGGAAAATTGGGGTTGTGTGATCTACAACCAAAGTAGG